TGAAGAGAGGTCGCAGCTACCCAGGAATATGACATAATCCTCACTTTCCTTATTCTGAACAAAACATAAGGACTCCGAGACTTGTCATGGTCCAGAGATAACAGGGGGAGAGAGTACTGAAAAGATTTTTTAAAGTTTGTCGATGTAGCATCCAGTTCGCCATTTATGTTTACAATACAGTGACTTTTAGTGTATTCACAGGGTTATGCGACTATCACCATAATCAATTTTTTTAAGAGAGATTTTTTTGTTTTGGGGCACTTGTGTTCCCTGGAGAGACAGAGACAGAGAGACAGAAAGTGAGAAATCACCCCCAGGGGAGATGGTCGTGCTACAGTCCCTTCTCCTCCATTCAGTTCTCATGATTTGGGGCATGCATGCACACATACCTGGCATGAGTTTGAAGCTGCTGGGTCTGGGACTTGAACTGCAGTCAACTACATGGAAGTCCAGTGATGTAACCATTACGCCATCTGCTGGTTCCACACCACAGTCGGTTTTAGAATAGTTTTATCACTCTGAAATAAAACCTGGCACTTTTTTGTCTTTATCCCCAGACTTTTCCTCTGCCAGCCCTAGGCAGCCGCTAATTCACTTTCTGCCTCTGTATTTGATTATTCTAGAGACTTCCTATGCATGGAGTCATCCAGTGTGTCTGGCTTCTTCTGCTCAGTGTGCTTTCAGAGTTCACCCATGTTGTAGCATGTATCAGTATTTCATTTTTAATGGCTAGGTAATATTCCATTCTATGGATATATCACATTTTGTTCATCTAGTCATCAGTTGATGGGTGTTTGGTTTGTTTCCACTTTTAGGCTATTACGAATGGCGCCACCTAGGAGTAGAGTGGCTGGCTCATATGGTATAGGTAACTCTAACGCTTTTGAGGAGTTGCCAGACTGTTTTCCACAGTAGTGGAGCCATATTTTTATGTTATTTCTGTCAGCTCTAAAGCCTCTTTTATTCTTAAGTTCTCTATGGATTTTTTTTTTTTAAGCATATGATCAAGCATATAAAAAGACAGCTTCAACAAATCCCCCCTTTTTTTGTGGAGAAAGCAGATCTATTTATTTCTTTGTTTATTTGAAAGATTTTTGCTATAGAGTGTGCGCACTCTTCAGAGAGACAGAGAGAGAAAGTGAGAAATCACCACCCGGGTGGATGACCAGGTGCAATCTCTTCTCCTCTGTTCTCCTGGGATTTGGGGGCACACATGCACCCACACCTGAAATCAGTTTCAAGGTGCCTGCTCTAAGACTCGAACCACGGTTGGCTACATGGAAATCCGGCACCTCAAGTACCATACCACCTGCTGGTCCCCCAAATATACCAATTTTAAGGTGGACCTTGAGGGGTATAGTTGCTAAGTCTCTGGAAGTGAGACTTAACTCCCTCGGTACAGGACACCAACACTGAGAAACCATGAATGATACGAGCAGTCAGGGCACAAGGAGAGGAGAACATTTAGAAGGAATATAAAAAATGGCAGAGGGGACCCAGGCAGTGTTAACGTTTACAACTGAAAGAGACTAGAGAGCAGCAGGAGTGTGTGTGTGGTTTCCTTTGCCAGCCTGGCTGGTATTTTAAGTAATGATTTTGACTGGTGGCAGATTTAAATTGCACACTATGAATTTTCTTTCTAGTCAGCTCTTGCTGGACTCAATCCTGGAACTCATGAGAGAAGAAAGCGTGGAAGAGGTCTAGTTATAAGAATGTTTTTTGGGGGCTAGCAGGTAGCCTAGTGTTATGGCGCTGGACTCCCACGTGGCTGACCATAGTTTGAGTCCCAGACCTGGCAGCTTGAAACTCACACCTGTGAGTGTGTGTGTGTGTCCCCAAAATCCCAAGAGGAGACGGGAGGAGAGGGGTTGCAGCATGGCTACCCACCGTGGGATGATTCTCACTTTGTTTCTCTGTCTCACACCCATGCCCTATAGCAAAAATCTCTCTCTCAGAAAGTTTTCTCTTGAGAACTAGGATATGATTATTGTTGACATAAAACATTTCTTTTTTATGATTGTGTTTATTTTGAATAACAAAAAGTTATTGAAACAAGATTTACAGAAGTTTCCAGACAAGCCATACAAAATAGTCACAAGCTTCTTTTGAAGGCGTCTACACCTGACAGCAAAGTCATAGTGTTATTGTGAGGGCTGTGGTGTTTGTTTAATGTTCGCACTTCGGTTCAAACAATCCAGCTTGTCCATCTTCAGCATCTGAATAAAGTTGCACTTGGCTAGAGAGCATTTTCTAAAGAACTGGTTAGCTGCTTTTAACCAGTGCGATCAGATCACCATAAAAAGGGGGAAAGGAGCCCATAAAACTGAAATAAAGCTATTTCCCCCTAAAAAACAACAACAACAAAAAAGCAAAAAACCAGTAACCCACACCCCTGCAGCTAACCGTGACAGCTACCTTCTATTCACAGGGCTTTATACTTAAACCATGATGGGGGAAATGAGTAAAAGCAAGAGGCCAAAGCTTTTAAACAGTTCACAGCAATCCAGAGGATCTGCTAGCCTCTGCTCATGCTGTACCACAGGGAGTCAGGACAGGACATAGAGGCTGATGTGCATGTAATCAGGGGACTGAAGATGCCCGGGCTTTTACCCTGTAATGTTTCTAAGACTGTCCATTAAATGCAAACGAAAAAGGAAGAAGTCTTGGCCGAATGGGAGAAGTGTGCACACGTGATGATCTGATCGATTGAACTATTATTCATGGGATATAGCGTGATCCATGCTCCAGCTGTGTCTGACTTGGGCTTTGCGGGTCTTCCACTGGCCACTGCATCGTTTGTTAATGGACCATCTGGGTTGGGAGCATTTCACAAAGCCTGGATTGATAGCAGAACTGTGCGGATGTGCAGTGCTGGGGCCCACTTTCCTTTCACAATATCTAAACGTATTCTTCCCCGCTTGTTTGCACTAGGATGATAAAGTTTGGTCATGAAATGTACCGTAGGGGCTGCCATTGGGTATTCTTCTAGAAGGAATAGTTCAAGTTTAAAAGTCCCTTCCTCAAAGGGGGAATCCTGTAAGCCAGCAATGACCCCATGAAAATAACGGACGTTGCTCTCATCTGGTTCTGCTTTAATGCCAGAACCCATCCTGCCAGCAAACGCTGGTTTCCTTGGTGATCCCCTGGGCAGCCCAGCTGTCTTGCCAAATCCTGAGTCCAGCCTCTGGCCTCTTCTCCCAAGATTGTTATTTATTTATTTATTTATTTAGTTAGTTAGTTAGTTAGTTTCAGTGCCCTTCAGTGTGACAGGTATCTACCATGCAGCCTTCTGCGTTAAGAAGTAAACCATTAAGGAATACTATTCAGTCATTAAAAAGAATGAACTGTCATTTGAGATAGTGTGGGCAAGCCTGCAGGACGTTATATTAAGTGAAATAAACCAGACACAGAAAAAGACATACCAGATGTATTCACTCAGGTTGAAATTAAAAAGGATGACCTAGTACGAGGAGAGAGTAGAAGAATGACTCCCAGAAGCAGAGAACGATAAGGGGAAGAAAGGGATGGGAAGATGTTGATCAATGAAACAAAATCATCGGATAAGAGGAACAATTTTCAGTGTTACAGAGTATAGCAGGGAGACTCTCGTTACCAACAATTCACTGTCTATCTCAGAGTAACTAAAAGAGATTTTGAATGCTCCCAACACAAAGAATGACCAATTGTAGAAATGAAAGTTGTTTTAATTACCCTGATTTAATCAGTCCTTTCTGTAATTTTTGTGCTGAAAAAGCACATTGTATCTCATAAATATGCATAATTATCACATGCTAATTTTAAAAAGAAGTAAGCCATTAAGATTCCTAAGTAGACAAAGTGATTTTGTGGCTTTTTTTTAAAAGAGGTTTTTGCCTTAGGGCATGTGATCTTGCTGGAGAGAGAGACAGAGACAGTGAAAAGGAAAGTGAGAAATCATCCCTTGGGTGAGGGGGATGGCCACACTGCAATCCCTCCTCCTGCATTTCCTCCTGGGATCTTGGGCACATAGGCACATGTGCAGGTGTGATTTTCAAGTCACTGGGTTTGGGATTTGAACTGCAGTTGACCCTGTGGAGGTCCAGTGATGTAACGGCTACGTCATCTGCTGACCTGTGGCTTCTTCTTCTTTTTTTTTTTTTTTCCTTAAATGATGGAAGAATTTTACTAATACATATGGGTGAAACCAGTCTGCAGGGCCACTATGGTTATATAAAGCAGTACCAGCATTAAGAGAGCACATGTGTCAGGTGTACATCCATCTGCATTTCTTCATAGATGCAGTAATATTTGTTAGTAGGTGCAGTTAATGAATTTCTTACAAGTTTACTGTTATAATTCTCTTCATGGTAAATGTGCATGGTTTTTTGTCCATCTAGATTGACGTTCATTCTAGAACCTTCTGCCTACCCCCCCCCTTAGGTTTTTGCCACAGGACGTGTGTGCTCACTGGAGAGAGACAGTGAGAAATCACCCCCAAGGGGGGATGGTCACACTGCAGTCTTTTCTCCTCTATTCTCTTCCTGGGATTTTGGGCACACTTGCACACACTCTTGGTATGATTTTCAAGCTGCCAGATCCGAGATTCGAACTGTACTCAGCCATGTGGGTGTCCAGGGCCTTAACCACTACATTACCTGCTGGCCTCCTGGAATCTTCTTTTATAGCTTTTCTTACAAATAATCTGGACTGGTAACTGAAGTAGAAACATTAGTGCAATGTCTGATTTGCCTCTTGTCCTTTTCTGTCATTCTCTGGTTAGGAGTCTTCAGGAGCTTTTAGATTATCCTGGAGAAGATGTTGAGGAAACTTTTTGCCTCAATTTCACGGTAAGAATTTTCAGTTTGCTTATGACTGGCCATCTCATCATGCCTACAAGTCATGGTTAACAGTATTTCTCCAAATCAAATAATTTCTGAATCAAATTATTTTAGTCATGACCTTGATTGTTCTAGGGGTTCAGTAAATGTGTTGAATAAATGAATGATTAATCTATGCACTTAGGAAAATTACTGAAGCATTAATCTTCTTTGCTCCTAACACGTACACACTATTTTTTTTTGTACAGTTCATATTATCTTTCTCCATGATTGCATTTATTGGCAACTCCATGTCTTCAAATAAAAGAGATTTTTTTTGAGATCAGCCAGGTAGCATGTTGGTTAAGGCAGCTGAACAGCTAGCTGACTGAACGGCTGGAGTCTCAGACCCGCTGGCTTGAGAGGCATACTGCGTGGGTGTGCACGCATGCCCAAAACCTGAGAGGAGACTGGAGGAGAAGGGATTTTGTTGTGGCCATCCTTCTCAGTGGGTGTTTTCTCTCTTTTACTCTCTGTCTCTCTCCAGTGAGTGTACATGCCCTACAGCAAAACTTAAAACAAAAAAAGAATATTTTTATTGTTGTTGTTATTTTGTTTTTAGTTTTTGCTATAGGGTGTGTGTGCCCACTGGAGAGAGAAAATTAGAAATTACCCCCAGGAAGAATGGCCACACTGCATTTCCTTCTCCTCCATTCTCCTCTAGGACTTTGGGCATGTGATGTGCGTGTGACATGTTTCTCAAGCCGTGGGGTCTGGGACTTGAACCCATATGCAGTCAACCATACGGGTTTCAGCCACCTTAACCTCCATGCCACCAGCTGGCCCCAAAAGAGATTTCTTTAAGGTGCTGATGTTTTTTGCTTCGGGTTTTTGGTCTTCTCCCAAGCACTTTCTGTAATAACAGTCATTAAGCTACATTAGTTCCTAAAGCCTCTTTCAGTCATTTGGGCTCTAGAAAGATCAGTGGTAAACAAAATTGAAATGTTTCTTTTTCTGCATTAAATACAGATCTGCCGAGAAAGCTATGGAGTAATTGAACAGAAGAAGCTGATCCCTGGGGGAGACAAAGTGACCGTGTGCAAGGATAATAGGTTAGTCCTGATCTTGGACAGTTACAGATGTTGCTAGTCTGGTTTTTTTTTTTTTTTTTTTTTTCAGTTTAACTTTTAATATTAAGATTGAAATTACATTTTAATCCTTCAGAAGAGGTAAGGGTGATAAAGCAAGAATTTGCAGATTTTAATGAATTTTTTGATAGCAGAGCAAATACTGGATCTGACTGGATTCTGGAGATAACTTTTTATTCTAGATCTACATCTGATTGGTTTTGACTCAAATCACAGCAAGGGTTTGATCTCAGTTTTCTTATCTGTGAAATGACGATTGTAACAACTGCCCTGTTTTCCTCATGGCTGTGAGAATCAAGTGAAATAGTTTATAGGAGAATATTTTGGAATGAATGAACTTCTAGCATCTAGCATAAGATTTCTAGTACATAGTAGAGTTCTCAGCATGAAAATGTTTTAAAAAACATGACGTGAATAAATTAATCTTATAGATGAATCTTGCTGTTACTGTTGTACTGCTGAGGAGTTTGTCATACAGGGTTTAAGGTATCTTCTCTGCCTCATGAAAATGAAATCGAGCACATCAATTTTTTAGGACATTTCAAAACCTCTGAAATATCTCTTTAGAGGAGAGAAGATTTCCAGTTTTGTTTATTTTTGTATTAAATTGTGGTAATCTGTATGTGAATTAATTCACTTTGCAAGCACTACACATCGACTGTGTGCAGGACATACTGCTAGGTATAGGAGATGAATCACTGCTGCCCTTCAGAGGCTCAAGATTAGTTGAGAAGGTCTGTAGACTTGAACAGTGACAACTGATTGTGGTTTGTGTGATAGGAGTTATTGGCCATGGCTGTGGAATTGGGGCTAGAGGCTCCCACACTTAACTAAACCAGATGTCAGAGAATGAAAATGAGGCCCAAGGCATGTGTCAGAACTCTCAAGTTTGACCTGACAGAAAATGTTGAGCACTTGTGGGGTGGGAACTTGTACACACAAGGGTGGAGGAGATGGCATGGGGTGGATGTTATCAAGGCATGGAGTAGGACTTGAATTGAGACATGATGGATCTCTGTTTTAACGATCTCTGACTATATGGAATAGGCCATGGACAGGGAGAGCCGTGGGGAGGCTATTGAGATAGCTGAGGTAAGGGATGATGGTAAGGGTCAGAATGGAGGTCGTGGGAATACACAGGTGCAGGTTCTGTGAGTGCCATGAGCTGGTGTCTGATTGTATAGGGGTGGTACGAGAGAGGATGTATTGATAACAATGCTGAGATGGCCAATTTGCACTAATAGAAATCAGTCTATAAATCTTGTTTGAGGAGGAAAAGTTTCATTTTGAATATGTTGATGTTGACATACCTGTGTGACACCCAGCTGATCATGTTAGAGCAGGAAATTGATATATCTCAAGAAGTCTTAATGTTTTGTTTAGTTACTTATGCCAACCTCAATCATCAGTGAATCTGATGTTGCTTACAACAAGAACTAGAAAGAAAGAAGTGGTAGACTAAAACAAATTAAAAAAAAAAAAAACAAGAACAAAGAAAATGCACATTCTTAGAGGGGCTGTAGAAATTGCACTAAAATGCAGGCTCTTGAGGATTTGAACATCAGAAGCACATAGGCTAGACTAAAGCTGCTTGGCTTAAAGGAAAAGCAGGTGGGGTGGAGAAAGAGGAAAGAACTAAGTCTCCAGTTGGGAGGATTAGGGGTGAGGAAAGCTTTTTGGAGAGCAAGGTCTCGTTGAAGCTATAGGAAAAGCTAAAGATATAGAGGAACTGAGTGCTGTTTGTAAACATGCTGGGAAATTAGATCAGACTCACTCACTCTTGGATATTGACGGCTTCTTCATCTAAATAGTTGCAGAGATGCAGTCAGAGACCTATGAAATTTACTCCATCCAAGGGGTCTGCCTTGGTTTGCTTCCATAAATCTTCTCTTTTAAAAATAGGAAGGATAGAAAGCTAACAGACTTAGTCTATCCTCTGACAGTTTCAAAAACTGCTACGTAATGTGACATTTATTAACTATTGTTTATTTTAAAATTCATGATAGAGCACATGAGGTGGGTGGGGGACAGAGAGAGAGAGACAGAGAGACACCCTCAACCAGGTCTGGTCACATCTGATCTCTTCCCGAGCCCTCCTGCTTGTTCAGGATCTTGGGTGTGTGCATGCACGCCAGTGTGTTTTATGTTGACCAGGTTAGCAGTCTGAACCCAGGGCTCTCCGCGTGACTTCCAGCACTGCAGTTCAGTTTGCTCTCAGCTGTACTGTAGAAGCTGGCCGCAGTAACCCTTCATATGATGTAAACCTTCTAGACTATCAGAAAGCCTCAACTTTGGGGAAAGTATGAACTGTGGTATCAGAGCTAAGTGAAATGATGCAGAAGCCTCTGAACATCAGAAAAAACAGCTTTAGTGATAAAATTATCTGGGCTCTAGAAACCTCATATAAAGGCTAGTCTTGTCTCAAGTGGACGGTGCAATCAAAAAGGCTTACTTGATAAGACTCTCTTAAAGCTAAAAGCAGTCCCCACCATCTATGTGGCATTGGTACTTCTGTTAACAGCAAGTAATTTCACGACTTCCTTCTTAATCAAAACAGGTTGTTTATCCCATACAACACGATACTGTTTTTAGAACTGAGAAATTTATGACAGGTCATAAAGCAGAGTTATTAGCTTAGATTATTTCCTTTCCTCCCTAGTTTGGTGATCAGTTTACAACATACATGTATGGACGTACGTAAATGTGTAGCCTTCAGTTGTTCAAAGAATGTGAGCTTTTGCATCAGGTCTCAGGCAAGACAATGTGGGCATCATTTATTAGAAGCTAACAATTGGACAGGCAAGGGGACGTTCAGGATGTCTTCATCCTCCAGTGAGTCATCGTACTGCTCTGCGTGGGTTTGATACACTGCAGGGAGAGGGGAAGAGTGACCAGGCAGTTTGTGGTGTCGTCTGCAGTCAAAGCAGTGGCTGAGACTCAGTACTCTCATACCTTTGCCACATTGTTTCACATAGCATACATGTTGTCCCCTAGTCTTGGCTCCGTCTGTCTTTCCTCTCTCCTCCTCCCTCCCTTTCACTCTCCTCATCTTTCTCCGTATTCAACAGACATTTCTCTGAATCAACAATTGAAATGACTCAATGGTTACAAGACAAACTGTGCAGGAATACTGAAATATAACACAGTTTGTTTGGGGTGACAAGCTGTTCTCATATGCAACCATAAATGGAATATGAAGACTAAATCGAGTGTTTGTATCTGAAGGCGTTCAGAGAAATAAATCTGCCTCTGGGAGGACAGATATGGGATGGAACTAGGTTTGGAAGGCTGTAAGGATTTGGATCCTAGAAAGTACAGAAAGGGACATAAAAATGAAGGGTGCTTTCTGAAGCGATGTCCCTTTCTGGGTAGTTATTTCAGACAGAGAATGGTGAGTGAATGAGAGAGGAGTGCCGGACAGGGGCTGGGGGGGAAACTTTATCTGAACAACCCACACCAGCCTAGCTGTGAGATTAAATTGTAGAGACTTTTGGACGGTAGTTTGGGCTTCACTCAGCAAAGTCAGCCATCTGGGAATCCATTGCCTTAACCTCCATGCTACTTGCTGGCCCACTATGCTTTCTAAACAAAAGCTTCAAAAAATGTCCAAGTCTTTGTATAATAAAGAGTGCTCTTTTACATATTGCCAGGCAGAGGGGGATATTCCATTTATTGCTGGTACACAGATAGTGCTGGCATTGAAATTGCTTTTGTTAAACAGTGGTGATATTTATTGTCATGGCTGCCTGAAGGAAAATGCCAGAGGAATACCAGTCTATTGGTCAGAAAAATCATGACACATTTTTGCTTAGAAAAATGTAGAAAAGTGCACATGACTTTTCCAACACTCCAATATATTCATAATTTATTCCACTTCATTTGGCCTAAAAAAATTCTTTCTATCCTTGGGCAAGAAGAGCCACATAGTCACATGAGTTGCTGGCATCCTGGTGAAAGAATACCTATAGCTGATTGCTGGTGGCTGCATCAGAGCCTCGTCTTGCCACAGCTGGTCATCGTATCTGTGGAAGGCTTGATTGCATGACTAAGGCTTTATCGCGTGGCTAGGGATTTCTCACATTTTATAACATGATGTTGTTACCCTTAATGAAAAACCCACATATTGTTCTGATGTCCCCAAATTGACCTCAGCTTGATGCAATCAAATTAAATCCAGTTGTTGGCTTCTTGTTTTCTCTAAAATAAAGAGAACGAGAATCATAAAAGGTCTCCACAGTGAGAAATACCAGACTTGGTATTTACCAGAGGGTGGCACAGTGGTGACACAACTGGCCCCCACGGGCCTCTTCCACACACTAGCACGTGCATGTGTAACCATGACCTGGGCTGGCTGAGGCTGGGGGTGGGTTGTGGCATGAAGACCTTGTCGGGCACGCCTGTCTTTCTTTCCGTCTCTCTTTTTTGTGGAAGAGAGAAATAATTACTTAAATACCAGACTTTAGGTAAGGGGACCTAGATTCCATAGAGAGAACCCTAGAATAAAACTCATGAATGATAAAGAGTTCTAGCTCTTGGGAACCAGCAGTTAGTGTAATGGCTATGTTGCTGGACTCCCACGTAGTCGACCGCGGTTTGCGTCCCAGACCTGGTGGCTTGAAACTCACACCGGGTGCATGTGTGTACGTGCCCAAGATCCCGAGAGGAGAATGGAGGAGAAGGGATTGCGGCGTGACCGTCCCCCCTGGGGAGGTGGCTTTCTGTCTCTATGTCTCTCTCTATCTGTCTGGCGAGCGCACACGCCCTATAGCGAAAACCTCTCCAAAAAAGAAAAAAAAAGAGTTCTAGCTCCTTAAGATCAACTGAAGTGAGGACTGCTGACGGACCTCAGTTGGTCTCCCAGGATGGTCTGAGAGGGGCGCAGTCTTGGCGATCCATGTCGTACTGCACTGGGCTATTACAGGAACAGCAGATGATTAAAATGCTAGTAGTACTGCTTAGTGCTTATTGAGTGTCAGGCACTGTTCTGAGTATTGTACATAGAAGCTTCCCTACCTCACAGGTCAGGAGACTGAGACACAGAGATGCACGAGGCACTTCTTCAAGACCATACACTTGAAGTCCCAGATTCCAAGAAAGGTCCTTTGAGGTCCAGGTGCAGCAGTGTGCTGCCTCGTAGAAATTCAGAGTACAGCCCCATAAAGCCCACCCATCTCCTCAGGGGGAAATATGACTTAGAGGAATCTGCTGTTTATCCTTTCAGGTCGAGTATGTCATTAAAAATATATATATTTACTTATTTTAAGTTATTTATTATTATTATTATCATTTTAGTTCACTGGAGAGAGAGAGGGAAAGTGAGAAAGCAAGTCACCAGATCTGGGACTCGAACCATAGTTGACCATGTGGGTGTCAAGTGCCTTAACCAGTACCCCACCTGCTGACCCAACTATGTCATTTAAAATTTTTAAAATTTTATTTATTTTTTATTATTACTATTTTGCTAGAGGGCACATGCATTCACCAGGAGAGGCAGAGAGAGAGAGAGAGAGAGGAAGAGAGAAAGCAAGCCACCAGGTTCGAGACTCAAACCACATTAGGTCATGTACGAGTCCAGTACCTTAACCATCATACCACCTACTGGCCCTGATTATGTCATTTTCGGGACTCGAGCCATGGTCAGGCCATGTGTGAGTCCAGTACCCTTAACCACCATGGCACCTGCTGGCCCCACATAGTTAAAGACATACTACAATTGTACAAAATTGAATGTCTGAATTAAAAAAAAATTATTTATTACTATTATTATTTTAAGGTTGCTATAGGGTATGTGCACTCATTAGAGAGAAAGAGAGAGAGAGAGAAAATGAGAAAGCAAGCCACCAGGTCTGGGACTTGAACCATGGTTGGCCATGTGGGAGTCGAGTACCTCAACCATCATGCCACTTTCTGGCTCCAAATGTCTGAATTTTTTAACTTAGGTGAAGACAAGTCTTACATTAAAAAAAAATTCTTTCTCTTCTTTTTTTTTTTAAAAGAGTTATTTATTTAATTGTATTTGTTTTTATTAGTTTTTAATTTGACAGAGAGACAAAGAGAGGGAGAAAGAGGGAAAGTGAAAGCAAGCCACCAAGTCTAGAACTCGAATTATGGCTGGCCACTTGAGAGTTCAATGCCCTAACTACCATGCCACTTGCTACCTAGAGAAGGCTTAAAATGTTGGAAAATTGAGGCCAGCAGGTATCGTAGTGGTTAAAGCACTGGATTCCATAATGCTTGACTCCATGGTTCGAGTCCCAGATCTGGTGGCTTGAAAAAAATGCTAGGGATGTGTGTGTGTGTGTGTGTGTGTGTCCAAAATCCCCAGAGTGGAATGGAGGTAAAGGGATTGCAGCAAGGCCATCCCCGTAGGGTGTGATTTCTTACTTCTCTCTTTTTTTCTCTCTCTTGTGAGTGCACGTCCTATTGCAAAAATCTAAGAAACAAAAAGTTGTAAAACCCTGGTTGATACCATTTTATAATGGCTGTTTTGTCTGCTATTTGATGGCGTATTTTGTTTTTGAGTTGTTCATTTGTGTTTCTTTTTTAAAATTCTTTCTGTTTCTTTTCTCATCCCTACCATTTTCAATAAGATTATGCAAATATCTTTTGCGTATAAAGATTTATTTTGCTTTAAAATTGCTTTTTAATGAGTAAGTTCCCTAGGGTGAAATTGAATTAAAGCATATAGCATTTGAATCTATTGATAAATGTTTTCGCTAAATTGATTTTGCTAATGAATATATATATGTGTGTGTGTGTGTGTGTGTGTGTGTGTGTATGCGTTTATCAGTGTATACATCATCAGTGTATTGGAGTTCCCATTTCATTCTGTCTTTATACTGTAGATTCTCTTAGGAGCATAAAATTTAATGAGAAATTCAGTGTCTTTTTTAAATTTCGCACTTTTTCACACATAGGCTACTTTACATATTCTACACAGTATTGATCCATTTGACTGCTGTTCACCTCTAAAATTTTTTGTTAAATTAATAGAGGTGATAGTTGTCAACATTGTGAATGTATGATATGTTACTGAATCATTCCCTTTAAAAAGGTTAATTTTGTTATGTGAATTTCATCTCAATAAAAGTATTTGTATACATGTGTGCATGTGCACATGTGTCTGTGTGAGCACCGTGCAAGCTCTCAGGGAGCTTGTGCCACAGTGAGCATCAGCCTGCTGCACTTCTCTGCATGACACTCTTAGAGAGCTGAGTGGATAACGCACGCTGCCTTGCTTTCTGCAGGACTTTGTGCCCTGTTGACTAATTTTGGCCTGCAAGGGATTACAAATATTCTAGGAGTGACAATGTCTGACCTGCCTTGAAGGAAGGCTGTCCTGCTGGATGTTAGCTTGTAAGTTTCTTAGCTGCCTCAAAACTAGCAAACAAGCAGTTCAAGAAACCAAGGGTAGAGATGAGCCCCATTGCGAAACTGTTGATACTGGGAAGGGCTTCGTAAACATCCCTGTATCCTTGAAGGAGGGCCTGACTGGTAGAAAACCGTACAGCTAAGTCATACTGTAAATAAAAGGATTGCCTGAGCACGCAGGGAATGTGCACCTTAGGCCTTGCTGAAGCCGGTCTGCCTAGTGTGGATTTCAGGACCATGCCTTTCTGCCATAGACAGGGTTCATAGTCTACTGCTGTCCTTTATATATTTTTCTAAATGATTTCCATATAGTTTGTATGACTCTTTATTAAGACTATTAACCCTCGTCCATTGATATTTACTGTCGATTTTATTCCAAGTTTGTGGTTTGCTTTTTAAAATGTTGTGTTTATGTCTTTACAGTTTTTAAATTTTTGTACCATCATGTCTGTACATTTTTTCTTTTGGCCTCATATCACTATAACATTAGTCTTTTCTTGCCTAGTAATTGATAAATATTTAACGTATTTTGTTCAATTAAAATTTTTTTTTTCAAAATCAGTCTGAGGTAGAAATCTAAATTATTTCTAATTTGCTAAACATTTTCTTAGGTATTCTTACAGGTGACCATTAGGGTAATTATATTAAGTTCCAGATCCACTTTGGATTTTTAAAAGAATGTTTATTTAATTTTATTTGTTATTATTATTTGATGAGAGAAGAGAGACAAAGAGAGCAAGTCACCAGGCCCTAGACTTGAACTGTGGTCGGCCACGTGGGAGTCCAGCACCTTAACTACCACACTTTGAATTTTGTTATCAATCAAAAGTTAATTTCAGAAGAATTGCCACTGTGTTGGTATTAAATATTATCATCAAAAGGCCCATGTTCATATTTTTTTTGGTTTAGTCTTTTCACATAGGCTATATACATTTTTTATTAGAGATTTTAAAACATACTTGAATTTTTATTTCTTTTGTAGAAGAGAGCCTTTCTAATGTGTTTTCATCATCAGTACCCCAGAATAGTTCCCAGTTTTATTTATTCATCTGATAACTGCTGTTTATTAAATTTACAAAATCTATTTTTCAATTCTCTTGAGTTTTTTAATAGGTAAATAATATGCATATAAGAATTGTCCTGGACCAGCCAGTAGCATGGGGGATAAGGTGGGTGGGTACCACATGACTGTGCAATTTTGAGAAACACGCTGTGTGTGTGTGTGTGTGTGTGTGTGCACACCCCTGTAATCCTGAGAGGAGATGGAGAAGGGATTGAGGCATGACCATTCCCCATGGGGAGTGCTTTCTCGCTTTCTTTCTCTCCCTCTCTCTCTCTTCCCAGGGAGTGCATGTACCCACCAGCAAATAATACTAAAAAAAATCCCAATAATTATACCTCTTATTAGTATTTTTAGTCATTTTTGCCTTTTACTGGCTCTAGAAAAACATTTAATGATGGTCTTTCTTATTCCTGGAAATAAGAAATGGATATTAAATTGTATTAGAGTATTTTTATTTTTCCCTTTATTAAGATAATCATGATTAAGATAATCATGGCTTCTTATATATTATTTGGATATTCTTTCAGTTGGCCTGGCCATAGGAAGAGTTAAGGATTTTTGTATTCAACTGTTGTCATTAGCAACAGGTCAGAGCTGCCTTCCATTCCCTTCAATTGATTTCTGTGATTTTAACCCTTTGAGGGAAGTGGAAGAAAATGACATCCGATTTTAAAGATTTTTTTCTGGAGTCTTGTTAAGTTTTGCTTCATTCAAGATGCCCAAATGTAAAGGTGAAATAGCCTTTTTTTTTTTTTTTTTTTTTTTTGTATATTGTCACATTAAAGCCTTTTATCGTTTCTGGGAAGAAATCAAAACCTGATTTTATATTGTGAAAACCAAAACAAGATGGATTATTGAATTTCCCATGTTTCTGAATCAAAGACCACATATTTTTCTCTGATAATAGGAATCCTAAACATAGGGGTATAATGGTGTCTATTTTCTCACCTTTTGTAATGGGAGAGGATTGAATTTCTAATCTGTGTCATTATCTTTCATGTAATAATAGTAACTGAAAATTATTCAGCCCTTCCTGTGTGTCAGACACTGTTCTATGTGCTTTATGTGTATTAACTCACTTGTTCTTCACAATAACCTGTGAGGAAGGGACTGCTACTAATATCCCCTTTTCTAGTGGAAGAAAACCTGAGCACAGAGAGCTTAGCTGAATTGCCCAAAGTGTATTGTAAACAGGAGACAGAGCTGGGATTTGAATATAGGCAGTCAGCTTACTGAGTCTTTTTTTTTTTTTTTGAAAATACTGTTTTATTAACACCACAGTGGTAAACAACTTTATGCTTATGTTTCTTTATAGATCACTGGCTCACACATAATTCAAAACCCACAAAGAAGCAAAGAGTCTTTACATTAAACGTGTTCTTCCTAAAAATCCTTACTGTTGGCCAGTCTATCCTCAAGCAGTAAAATTTGATAATGCACCATTTCATATTTAATATGTCACATTTACATAGCAAAATAATGAAGGCACAGCTAATACAAGCAAACGTAACCCTTTCTACGTCTGAGCTGGGGCGGGGGCACACACTTGGATTTGGTTCTTCAAGTATATATTTTTTTCCAAACATTAGCTTCAGTGAAGAGTTCTGATGATTTTCACAGCTCTACACCTTAAAAGCTACATGACAAAAAGACTTCACAGGGATCAAACTACATAAAACTGGGTACACATGCTTTACAGAATTTGCTACATTCTACATCTCTTCAAGTAAAATAATAGTTCTAAAATGCTAGGTAAAGTGACTCAATACTTAAACGTTGGAGTGCTTTTTACACCTTTGTAAATAGACACTACCAAGAAAACACAACATGAGGTTGGAACTAATGAATACTTGTGTTGACAATATTATACACCCTCCTCCTTGGAACCAGGTGGTTTCTCTAAATTCAGTGTTGAGAGCATTTTTTCAGAACTTGAAATGGCAGTTGTCCTGGCGTCACTAGCAGTAGTGTGGTGCTCTCCAAAGCAGGCTTCCTCCACTCCGTCACTCTCCTCTCAAGTGTAAAGCTGATGTCTGGTTACAAAGGCAAAAATCTGAACGATGACGTTCTTCTTGGGTTCTGCTTTCTCTGCACTGGGAAATGTCAGGACTAGAGAAACTGAAGAATTAAACCTTGAGAGCGCGTTCCGTCTTGGCTTGGGTGTCCCTGTGTAGTGTAAGGGCTGAGTGATGAATGGGTTTCAAAGTGACGTTCTTTACTTCACATCTGTTGCTACCCTTGATAAGCCTCAGTTTCGCTCCTCACAGAAGAATCCATGAAAAGATTGTTTTAATTTGGTCTTTTTCAACACCTTTTCATCTATTTAATGTATTCAAAAATGAAAGTCAATTTGAAACGGGCTGGCCAAGATCTAATTGCTTCGATTTTAATCTACCTTAGGAATGTCAGAATAGGTTTCACATTATATTTTGGTCAAAAACCTGAGCCTTTTGAAGTCCATCAATATTTAAGAAAAAAAAAAAAAAGCAGGTGGTTTTCGTCGTTAGCTTTCCCCTCATCGGTCTCTGTCCCTACTTTTTGGCATCATCAGGCACCTCAGCGTGGGGATCATCATCCTTCGCCCCCGCGGCCGCCCCCACGGCAGCCTCCTCCTCCTCCTCTTCTTCCTCGCCCTCCTCCTCCTCGTACTCTTCCTCCTCCTCCCCCTCCAAGGTCCACGCACAGCCCTCCATTTCGCCGGTGAGCTCCTGGATCTTGGCGAGTAGGGGCTTATAGATGTCATTATACTTTTTCTCCAGAGCTTGGAATTCCTTATCAAATTTGGCTTCTATCTTATCGCATCGTTTCTGCAGCTTTTTGAGGGCCAGGACTCGGCATTTCACCGAATTCGGCAGGCTCTCGATAAAGTCGTTTTTGGGCTTGGGTGCGTTTTCTGCAGGGGTCTGGGGCTCCTCGGCCATCTGGGTGGCCGCGCTGTCAGAGTCACCGGCCGCGCTGTCAGAGTCTCCACCCTGCGCGCCGCCTTCCGCCATTACCTCCTCCGACGTTGCCCACTCCCCTGCTGCCCCGGCG